ATGCTGTCTTATACTGTGTATTATATTGTACTACGTTGTATTTTGATATAATACTGTTTTTTATACTGTATAACAGTGTATTATGTTGTCTTATACTGTGTACTATACTGTATTACGCTGTATTATGATTTAATACTGTATCTTATATTGTATCACACTGTATAATGCTGTTTTGTACTGTGTACTATACTGTATTAATCGCCGCGTCACGACGAGGTGCGACATGAGCATGTCTGACACTCAAAGTACTAGCAGTCTTCAGAACTTTAAAATTAAATTAATTGGAGCATCTTCCAATGATTAACTTGCACCTGTGAACGTGAAATCATAGCCTTTCGTTCTCGCCTTTTGTGCCTTCTGTAGGGTCCACCATAAGATAAACAGTGTTTTCTGTACGCAAAACAAACTGAAAAATTTGCTTTCTGAATCAGGTACATAGGAGGAGACGAGGTGGAGCCTCTGAGGGAGCAGACGAACACGACAGAAGTGGACAGCCCTAAAACATGGGCGGCCCACAGTCTTCTGCGAGTCCGTGGACAAAGAGAAGCCCATGGTCTGCCGATTCGGTGTATCACGATGCATCCATCCAGCCTCGTTCCGACTTCTGCGGAAACACGACTGGATGTGCATTGTATGTATATCTCTGGTACTCTGTTTTTTTTTGTTTTTGTTTTATCGCATACCGAAACGTCTATTCAAGCAGCCCAGTGAAAGGGTGAATTTGCAATTCTGAGGTGCCATTCACTTTTCCACGTTGGATCAGATTATTTGGAATTTTTCGAAATAAATGAAGGACAGCGTTACTTCGATAGATACAATCAGCGAAGCATTCAAATTCTAAAGCACGGAGAAGAATAGAGATGTTACCGATTGCTCCTGTTTTCGTGTCACACGGTATCTGTCCTTGGATTTTCAATCTAATTCTACGAAAAGTATCCCTTTAGAGCCCGAGAGAGCTAAACACGCGATACTCCGAGTTCTTCTCGTGAAATAAATTATAGTTAACGTGAGGTTTACCGGAGATGGTCTATTCTATTTATTTATATATAATTCTACTCTATTTATTTATTCTATATTCTATATTTCAATTTTATGTATATATTTATGTACCTTCTATAATTTGTATTTATTATATATTTATTTAGTTATATTACACGACAGCCATTCATGCTGACTCTTGCCTATATAAAAAGAGGCAAGCATGTATCCAAATTCATTTTTATCTAAGCCTCCTAATTAATTGCAGTAAATCTATGTAACCTATTAAAGGATTAGTAACAGAAATCTGATAAGAAATGCTGAGAGCTTTGGAAAACATTTGATAACGTACTGAACACGTAGAATTGCGCTAAATTACATTGTTTAACACAGTTTCAATCGATTCCATAGGCTGGAACGCTCGATATTCGCGTTTATACGAAACCGACGCCAACGGTATTCCAGCCACCGGAAACCTTTAGAAAACGTTTGATAACGTACTGAACACGTAGAATTCTACTAAATTACATTGTTTAACACAGCTTCAATCGATTCCATAGGCTGGAACGCTCGATATTCGCGTTTACACGGTTAACCTCTCAGCAAGTTTCCACAAGCTAAACAAAGGCAAAGTCTTACATTGGTCAGTCACTCGGTATATTCTGGCATTATGGTCTACATAGCCAGCTGCAATTAACCGCAGTCGTCCATCCTCGAGATTTCAGTTTTTACGAGCGCAATTACCGTTTTCTGTAAAATAATAGACCAACCATCGTACGGTACGAGGCGAAACGGTGGTCGGCTCGTACTAACGGCGTCACGAATTTCCAGATACTCCCGAGGTGCGGCTGGAGACGAAACCGCGGCTGCTGGTGGCGGCCCTCGAGGATTCGGCGAGCTTTATGAGCCTGAAATGCTTCGCGGATGCCAATCCCAGCGGAACGATCAAGTGGTTCAAGGATTCAGCTCCCGTCACTGTGACGAGCAACGTCGTTTCGTTGATGCTAAACAGAACGCATCAGAACAGCACGCAGACGGGCTCCGAGCTGAGATTCGAGCCGGTGAAGAGAAACGACGCCGGTCTCTACTCTTGCAAGGCGGTCAACGTTATCGGTGAAAGCGCCCCGGCTAACTACAGGCTGGACGTACAATGTTCGTGGCGAAGTAGCTCGACTTTTACCGTGATGTCTAGTTTTAAGGAGGAACAACGGGAGGAAGTAATCGCACCTGTGGTTATTGATAAACACGTCAATTTGTACTCGACGCTGCCCTGTTGCAGACACGTAATACGACTTTCCCTTTGTAGTAGAACGACAGACCCAATTTACGGGGATACGGTAAAATTTGTAACTTTGTTCTTGCGACTGTTGGTACGATTACTACTGTGGAAGAATAATAGGAGTTAATACTACTCCTGCTATATACTATGATTACTACTCAGAAAGAATAATAGGAGTTCGAGTTGTCTTTGGGGTTGCTAGAGACGTTACATTGGCTGAAGTATCTGCTACTGTATATTGCTCAGGAGTTGGCGAAACACCTACGAGCAGAACGGCACAGGGGCAAGGAGAGGGCCCATCCTCTCTTTCGTCTCGGTCGCGGTAGCTTTGCAGATGCAACCATTAAGGTCGATTTATACTATCCGCACAGACCCGCAACAATATTCACAGTCTTCAAAAGAAACATTACTCTTAGAATTTCCATCGACTTCATACTCCACTCTAACTGCCACTACACCCACCAGTAGTTTTTATGAGCAGTTCGGTGGAGAATATCAATAATATTACTTTATTTATATGCTTGTATTTATGAATTGTTATTGAAAAATACTTGCTTTAAACATATCGCTAATTTTTCTTTTGGGCTAATTGCTTCCTTAAAAGTCCGTGTTCTTCTTTCTGAAAGAATTTTCAATTGTTCCCCAAAGAAAATTGAAACTATATTCCGACATTCTAAAATATTGAAAAAACTTTTCTTCGTCGTATGTTAATTTTGTATAGCGTCCAATATTCTCCTTCAACTTTTCTTCTTCTCAAGCACTTGTGCACACCAAAATGGCGGCATACTTAAATGTGAAAACATTTTTCCTATTTGTGCTATTACGTGTCTTTACGAAACGCTTTCTGTTAAACGACTGATCGGTTCCACCGATCGACGAACGTGTAATATAAACACTCGTGTCTGTGTCGGAACTGTTCTGGACCTGTTACCAACGTAACGTAATCTGTAGGGATAGTATAAATCGACCTTTACGCGACAGCCAATCGAACTGCCTCGCCAATTCCTGAGCAAATGACTGTACTGACCAAAAGACTAAAATTATACATAATCTATTATACAGCTAATACAGATCATTCTCAAGTAAATTGCCTCTTTTACAGACGGTCCCAGGCTGAAGGAAGAGGAGTCCGGCAACGACACAGCGCTGAAGTTCGAGGAAACGACTCTGCTAAGCACGAGCTTGGATCCCTTCGAGTGCGTCGACTTCGAGGCGAACCCACCGGCTCAGTACAGATGGATGCATCTTCGTGGGGGCGTGACGGAGGCCATCGAGAATCCCCTTCAGAACAAGGACGGTGGTAAACGCCTGCGTTTGGAGAACGTTATGTGGTCCGACGAAGGGGAATATCGATGCGTGGCGTTCAACGTGATCAACGGTGTGAGGAGAGAAATGCCCAGCGAGGCTCGTTACATGCTTCACGTAACAGGACCGCCAGAGATACAAGCTAGACCATCCACTGGGGGAAAAGGGTTCTACGAGTCGCTGGGGTGGGCTGGGGAATCCGAACACGTCCTCAAGTCACGGTTCTGTTCCAGACCACCGCCTAAACTTGTTGCTTGGCAGTGGGGGAGCTCCCATATCAGAGCTGGTACGATTTCTTGTATTACACCTTGAACATATCTAGATAAAAAGAAAATTATTCATGATGGGGTAAATCGTCTCTTCTCGTTCGGTTATAGTCTTTGATGTATAGCCAACCCTAGTTTAATACAATTAATTTCTAAACGAGAAAGGAGTAGAATTCAAATACAGAAAAGTCGTGTTGAAAGGGTCAACTATGTTGTAGCGTCAAAACAAACTATCCATGTTTGTAAGGTTCCTAACGCTTTCCACTCGTCGATTGTCCAGGTGAGAGCATTCATCCAAAGTACGAGGCAGTGCCATTGGAGCACATCAAGGAAAACGAGATGATAACAAATTGCTACTGGGCGAAGCTGGTAATAAAGGATCTGCAGAAAGAAGACGCTCGAGTGTACACTCTGTTGGTGGAGAGCGAAAAGGGGAGGGATTCGACGAACGTTAAACTGCTCATCCGTGACCCAACGGAAATGAGAGTAATAGCAGCCGCTGCTGCCGTGGGTCTGCTGTTCCTCTTGCTTCTGATATCCCTCGCTGTGTATTCCATATTGAGGTTCAAGAGTCGACGTTATCGGAAAGAAGAGGAGGAGGGCAGCATCGCAGCGGACGCCTTTTACAGTAATACAGCGACGAACGATAGACAGAAGACGGTGAACTCTTCACAAGGCAAAGGTTACAGTACCAGGAAGCCAAACTCCGAGGGTGGGCTGGCCGTCACGTACGACTATGACCAAATCACCAAGCAGGTGCGCGCCATGAGTCCAGAAGCTTTGAAAGTCAGGCGAGCGCCAGCTGTTCTTCAGCCACCAACGATCGTGTGACTGTTATCGTGTTCAGTGCCATGACGGTCACTGCTGACTGATACTGAGCTGTCCATTCACGTGCGTGTCACTGACGCCACTGTTTAAAATTGGAAGCTGCTGTAACGACGCTTCATTGCTTGACGTTGAACCAAAGCGTATTAGAATGTTGGTAATGAGACACAAGTCTGCGGACGATAAACTTTTCTTGGCAAACTTACATGCCAGACCGCAAAAGACAAAGGTCTGAAACTGAATATTAGGTCAAAAAACGTGTCCCATTATTTGGTATCAAACCAAAGTATAGCATGGGTAATATTCAAAGGATTTTCTTTGGTACAGATGTGATAATGTTATGAGTACTATCCAACCTATAGTAGTTAGACAATTGGTGTTTACAAATTTTAAAATAGAAGTTGAATTATTCGTTGTTGCTATTATTGTTGCAATTGAGATTCACTTTAAAGGTTATTATGGTAAGTGAAATAATCAGAGATTTTAATGGTTTTAATAATGCTTTTGAACATAGACATTGTCGTGTTCTATTAAGATTATTATTGCAAAGAGTGGAAAAGTTTTAATGGTTCAGGGAGTTTAACAAATTTCGAAATATTAGGCTTGTTGATTTCGTTATGAAATATGTTTGCAATGAATATTTGTATTGGAATTTTTGTTCCATGTAAAATATGAATTTCCTCTATCCCTCAAAGCCTTGTAGCAGCAAGTACTTTTATATCTATTAGTAATTTTATTTAATAAAACTTTTATACTTAATTGTAATGCCAAATAATAAGTATGTATTATATTAATTATCAAGAATCGAACATCGACGAAATGATCTTGTAAAAAGTACTCGTTTGCTCACCGTCGCACTTATAAAAAAAAACAATGAAAATTTTAAACAAAATAGTTCATTTTTTTATTCGTGCATTATAAGTTTATTTACAATAATCACAGCCCAGTTTGTAAGAAGTACGAAAGATAGTTAATTAACTTGTTAGGATCATCGTAGAAATTCTTGATAGCACATCGCCGCATCTACCTTCCACTTTAATCTTGGCAAGATCATCCGCTCTGGTTTTGCCAATATTTAATATGGCTATCGGCTTTCCAGCATTGCTGGCTTGCAACGCTATCCGATATCCAGAGAATGTGGTCAATGTAGAACCCAGGATCAGTAAAGAATCAGAATGTTCGACATTGTATTTCACGCTTTCCACTATCTGGCGCGGGACATTGTCGCCAAAAAATATAATGTCAGGCTTTAGGACACCGCCGCAAGCTTCACAAGATGGAACAACAAACTCTTCCACTTGTTCCTGTTAAAATGTATGTTCATCCTACATTCAGATTTGCGTACATTTTTATTTCTTCAAATTAAAGGAGTAGTTTAAGAATTCCTAACCTCGAACTATAACGAAAGACCATGCATCTATAAATTTTCATTTCTATTCAGTTATTCATTTATATATATATAAAGTACTAAACTACCCCTTTAAACAGAGTTGGGTATCAATCGGTCGTATACTTGTCAATTGCAATTAATAATTGTATCCCATACTTGTGACAGATCTACGTCGCCGTCTGGTCTTATCATTTGACTAGTTGCCGTCATATTTGGATTAAGCCTGTCCAAAATATCTTGCAGAGAATATCTACATATTCGTCGATCGCAATTAAGGCACATCACTTTGAATGCTGTACCATGTAACTCTATAACTTTCCTACTTCCTGCCTTTGCATGCAAATTATCTACATTCTGAGTAACAATGCATCTCACTTTTTTCGCGTCTTCCAATTTTTTTAATACTTTATGTGTGTTATTAGGTTCAATAGAAGAAAACCTATGAGATCGAGTCTTTGTTATAAACTAAATTTGGTCGTATTAAATTCTGTTTTCCATTAGAAAATCACAACCTTGGCCAACCTACATAATTCCTAGCCCAGTAGCGTCTACGAATAACATCGCTTCCACAAAAATCTTTGTACAGTACCGGTCTACGACTGCTCTTTGCATACAGTCCGACACCTTCGGATCTATAATCTGGTATACCACTTTCCGTAGAAATCCCTGCCCCTGTCAATATGCAAATGTTATTGTGTTTATCAATGAATTCTTTTAACCTCAGTAAATCTGAATCCTTTGTTTGTTCGCATTTCGGTACAAATGTGAGGATCGATGAATACGTCCTAACTGCAGAACAATTTCATTAATTTAACTACAATAAATAGAGTTAGCACATAGAACCAATGAACTTACATAATATTGTTGGTGCTCCAATTTTATATACAGGTCTACACATCCCAGTACGAATGGAATTCATCTTAAAATACAATACAGATATTTCAGATATTGTACAAACTATTAAACTTTATTAAGGATTAAGTCATCCCAACTTTCATCATCGACTCCTTTTTGGTTCGTGACGATGCAGCCCTATAATGATCCTTTGACATTTCATTTGATACACCTCATGTATAAAGCATATTCTGTCACACACGTGACTATTTCTTTTTAAAGTTACAACCACAGGATGCATCCACTGAGACGTGATCTCGATCCATGATCTACATTACTAGGAACCACTAGATTCACCAATGATGGGCGATCATGACCAATAGTGGAACTCACCTTATGGTTAACTCCCTATTACTCTGCACCCTATTTCAAGTTTCCATACTAAGAGCTTATCACTTTAAGATACTCGCGTTAATTTCGCGTGTACTGATTGATTTTCATCAATAAAATTTGATTAAAACACGAGCCACGATAAGTTACTAAAAAACCACCGACGGAAGTGGAAACATAAAACGGATGTCATCGCCCAGAAGAGTAATGGCGTCCGTAGCGGACACACAATTTTCTTACTGTTTGCCCGTTGCGTTTAAATTTACATATTTCGAGTATAACGCCGCAGTTGTCGATACTTTCGTCGAGTAATGGCCCCTTCGCTTTCTATAATTGGTTGATCGATTTCAAAAAACGTTTTTCTATATTCGGTGAAAATAAGTGGTTGTGTACATTCTAAGGGTTTTACAGTGCGACAGCATCAAAGAAAATTTTATTCGCAATTAACGAGCAGGTTGTTTCATCACGTTTCGTAAACGTATTTTATTTCGCGTTGAAAGAGCTTAGGAGTTAAATAAAGTTTGCGTTTGTCGTGGTTGCTCTCATTTTTCTAGAAAATATATCGTCTAACCTTCGTTGCCATTCCAATATTTCTGAAAGCGAGTTCTAGCTGCTCGTTTACGTGTATCGAATATTTAGTCGTATGTTAATGAACCGATCAAAGAAAACTTGAAATCTGCGATAATAGGAATAAACAAGGTACAAACCTTTCGTATTGACAAGTCAGTTCTATACTTTCACATATTGTGAAAGTGCATTTTCCCATTAATCCCATAAAATAATTTTAAATGTATACCGATATACAAAGTTAATAAAAGTTAGGTGAAATTACTGAATAGAAACACTCTGTTGGTATTTAATAAAATCTTAATGAAAACTGTTTTTTAATGTTTATTTACAGAATTAGAAACTGCAATGGATTCTGCATAGCGACTTCAAGCAGTATCAAGCAACGAATATGTTTGTTCCTTATTATCTGTTTCGACTATATTTTCTTTTACATGTTTGAATTAGTCGTAACATCCCTTAAATTATTTCGCTATGTCTGCAAATACCCAATTTGCGACTCCTCCGCCAGCCATAAGTTTACCTAATATGTCGGTGCCACCTCCCGCTGCTCCTAATTTATCGGCTCCACCTCCTAATTTAACTACTATAAACACCTCTGGAAGTTACCAACACCGGTACATCAACCACCGTGATGGAGCTCGTGGTTTCTTTAAACCGTTCAGACCTTATCATGCTCCCAAAATTGTTGCTGCCGGTCAAGACACTCTGCAAGACGAATTCGATGGGAAAAGACTTAGAAAATCTGTTATGCGCAAAACAGTCGATTACAATTCCGCTATTATAAAAAGTTTAGAGGTAGGCGTGCTATTTTATATTACAAAATCTTACGTTGTTAATGTAAAACATTGTTAATATTATGAATCTTGTGTGTGTAGAATCGAATTTGGCAGAGGGACTATCGGGACAGGCGTGCTCTTCAGCCAGATGTAATGTATTATCCTGATTTACTCCCACCACCCAGTTACGTTGACAACCCCATAAATGCAGTTACCACAAGATTCGTGAAGACTGCGACAAATAAAATGCGTTGTCCGATCTTCTGTATGGCTTGGACACCGGAGGGGAGACGTCTGGTTACCGGTGCATCTAGCGGAGAATTTACTCTGTGGAACGGCCTTACCTTTAATTTTGAAACTATTCTACAGGTATATTTCTTATTAGCGTTCAATTTTATCGTTAACATGTGATTCAGGATGTATATGTCCCTCGTTATATCTTCATTCATTCAAACTTTGTTATATATTAAAAAGTAACTCTAATTTTTTTCCTATTTCTATTAATCGTTTAGCAATAAAATTCTCGACCATTTTTTAAGTTGTAACGTTTTTGATCTAATTATATGTAAATCGCCCTCAGCAAAAAGTTTTTTAATTTAACGAAAATACATTTTTGAAGTAATAAATGCAACAAATTTGTTCCTTCTGTATACATCGATTCCAGGGATGCTAAGCAAAGAAATTGATTTTGTCTGTGCAGGCACACGATAGTCCAGTAAGAACAATGGTATGGTCGCACAACGAGAGCTGGATGGTCACAGGAGATCATGCAGGCTACGTCAAGTATTGGCAGAGCAACATGAACAACGTCAAGATGTTTCAGGCGCACAAAGAAGCGATTAGAGGACTCAGGTATACCATCCACCACACTAGTCCTTACGTCTCTTGCGCTACTGTTATCGATGATCCGTCCATCCTTGCTGTAGTTACGATACTGGACACGACTCTCATTCTCTTCCTTTTCTGGTTTTATAACACTTCTGCTATGAAAATAGTGATTCTTGTATGGGTACACAGGTGATTTATAGAGTTTTCGATGGATAGTGTTTGAACAAATTTTCTGGTATCAGGCGCATGGGCAATATGCAAATTCTTGGTTTGCTAAGAATCTGTGATACAAAATCAATCTGTGATGAAAAGTTCGTTATTCGTGCTATGGTAGCTCCAGTTATTTTTCCTTAAATGAATGCGTCGGTCTCTTTCGATTGAACGAGCGTGTATCTAGATCTTCGCTGTTACGCTGAAATTTTTTTAATTCTCTGCACCTTCACGGATCACAATGATATTCAAAGTCGATACGCAAGGATAGTGTAAACTTTTCTGTCGACTATGTTGTACGCGTGTTGATACGAAACTTATCATTTGTACTCCTAGAGTCTTAGGGACCTAAGTCGATTTACATGGTCCGCTAGATCGTAGCAGTAAGAACTTATTATTTCGCAAAAAGTCGAGGAAGGAGTTGAAACGAACTGTTGAAAAATAATATTAGGTCCTTATGGCTCTCGGTTCGAGGAGTTACATAGCCAGGCTGTTGGGTAAAGATGTGTATTTTAGAATTACCAATAAACAAGAAAGAAATATATACGGCCAATACCTAGTCGAGATTCCCACTTGAATTATAATAAAAATAAATATCCTGTGTCCTTCTTTACATCATCCAAGTTTTTCAATAAAGTTGAATAAAGACACCGCAGTATTCCATGGTTTTCGATAATAAAGTATTTTTTCTTTGTTTTGTGTCACTTGTGCCCTTTTGCAGATGAGAGAGAGAGAGAAAGTAGCAGAGAGATATAATGAAATTCATGTACACTTCGGACATTTTTTTTGTGTAATAAACGTTAAAATGTTAAAAAAAAAATATCACTCTTGGTACATCACTCGGTGGTCATGTGGCATCAAAGAGAGATTCTAATTTCATGACAAATGGGAACAGTTTGTTGCTTAACGAGCAATGAATATTTGTTTGAGTGCCAGATATGACTGTCGATGATGGTTTTTTGTTTATTTACAATATTTACACATAGATCTTCCTTTTATTACTGATGTCTGTCTATTCCTTGAGATGCGCTTACAGTAAAATCCACTATGCGTATTCCATAGAACATAGTGCAATCGATATATTAACTACTTTTGAAATTCAACCAAAAAGTAAAGTTTCGCGTACTTATTTTTACGCGGCGTTGTGTGCAGTTTTTTTTTGTGCATTGCTTACGCTCGAACTCTCAGGAAGAGTTCATACGTGAACTGGTCACTCGTGAAATAACAGCTTGTTGTTTAATTCCAAACAATTTATTCGAGTAATCTTCTGAAAATTGTGATGCTTTACGAACTTGTAGGCTGATTTTGATAAAACAAAATTCTTTTACAGAATATATTATTTAGGATCCGTTAAGGATGCATGCGTAGATATGCAAACGTATAAGTAACTTAACAGATGGTACCATGGAGAATAAGGGAAAATTCTCACGATATTTTCCGCTTGTTTTGTACATACATTGCATGCGAGAATATTTAGTACAAAATGACGAATCAGTAATAAATGTAAGCCATTACATGCTTTGATTTCGATTTCTAGTAATCATGTCCTGAAGTTGTGTTATAATAATGTCCGTAAGGTGTACCATATGTCTTCAATCTCCTTCTATCGAATTCAATAAATACTTCACATTCGCTTCCTTCCACTTTGACTATATTGCACTTGTACAAAGAGAATCTCAATAAAAGTTAATGAAACTCAGTGTGTAATTGATCTTTTATCGTGCTATGCTGTTACTTCAATATCAAAATACTCCAATGCTTGTGCCTACATGAGAAAATCAGACTGAAACATGTGTTACACGCCGTTACAATATAGTATTATCATACCGAAGATCTTCCATTGTGAACGTCTAAAAAAATAAAGAACTTGTTCGTCTATCCAACAGCGTATTGTTTGAATATAACTCTTGTGTTTTGGGCGGGTAGTTTCAGTCCAACGGATCACAAGCTGGCAACGTGCAGTGACGATGGAACAGTCAGAATATGGGACTTTCTTCGCTGTCACGAAGAACGAATTTTGAGGGGTATATATTACGTTATAATTAAATTTAATATGTATTTTATCGTGAAATTATATTTTTCGCGAATAATTAATCGTTATCAGAACAGGCACTCACCCAATTTTTGTTTAGGTCATGGAGCTGATGTGAAGTGCGTGCACTGGCATCCACAAAAAAGTCTAGTCATCTCTGGGAGCAAAGATAATCAGCAACCGGTCAAATTATGGGATCCAAAGAGCGGGCAATCGCTTGCAACATTACATGCACACAAGTCGACGGTCATGGACGTTAAATGGAACGAAAATGGAAATTGGCTGGTAACGGCTTCGAGGGACCACTTGCTCAAGCTGTTCGACCTTAGGAATTTAAGCCAAGAGGTTCAAACGTTTCGTGGCCACAAGAAAGAAGCCTCCAGCGTCGCGTGGCACCCGAGCCACGAAGGCCTGTTTTGTAGCGGTGGTAGCGACGGAGCTATTTTATTCTGGCACGTTGGGTATGGGTATATTTTTATATTTCTTAATATTCCACCTTTTACATTGTTTTACATGCTGTGATCAATGTTTAGAGCTGACAAAGAAGTTGGTGCGATAGAACAGGCTCACGACAGCATAGTCTGGACGTTAGCTTGGCATCCGTTGGGTCATATTCTGTGTTCCGGTAGCAACGACCATACTTCGAAGTTCTGGACGCGAAACAGGCCTGGCGATTTGATGAGGGATAAGTATAATCTCAACACGTTGCCTGCGGGATCTGCAGGCGTCGACGATCACGAAATTGGTATGCAAGAAATTATGCAGCTTTTGTTAAATTAGATCGTACCATTAATAATTCGACTATCTTGTAGCTGACGAAGCGGCCGTAATACCTGGCATGGGACCAGAAGACAGAATCAACGCCGATGGCGAGCCAGAGGACAAAAGCGGCGGAATTCCAGGATTGGACTTGGACCACGCGGTCGACGAGGGGAAGAAGTTCGCCAACAAGAAAGTTCCGTACAGCAAGCCCATCCCAAGAAATTTCCAAGCGCAATGGAACGAAATGGAGGCGGAGGACATGGAGCAAGTCGAGGCTTTGAACGCATTTGTGAATCAGTTGATCGAAACTACACCGGGAGCGGTGCCTCTGAACGAAGTGACACCTAATGGTATTATATTGTATGGAAAAATGATCCCCGTGGAGCGTAAGTATCGTAAAATACTGGTTTACAGTCTCGTGTTCGTCATTTGATATCAGAAGTCGTTACATATCGTTACGAATTTTCCAGCTGGCTCCAAGCTAGCGGAAGCCATCACCAAAGGAAACGACGCAATAAATAAGCTGGTGTTCTCCGGGGAAATCGAAGAATTGCGTGACGTCGTGGGCCCACCGGACAACGTGGATGAATCTGAAGAGTATCTGCAAGACGATGGCGAGATAGACTATTCCAAGGTTCCCGATATTGAACTTCCTCCGCCTCTGCCTAGTTCCAAGTTCGCCCAAAATCCTGAACTTCTCAAATCCCTGAACCGCGGTGGTAAAAGGAAATTTGATCAGCTGATCGGCTGGAGCGACGGCGGGGCTAGCGATCGTACATCGAAGATTCATCAACCAGTTTTCGGAGGAATAATGACGGAGGATTCCCAATCCAGCGACACCGATTTGAGGTACACTGGGGGAAAGTCCAATCAGCACTCCGGCGAGAACAATTCTTATGGCGGACACGACGAGGATCTCAGGAAGCTCTCCCACGGGGATAACGCGAGAAACATGAATCGCGGCGACGAAGACATGCGGTTCAGCATATCCAGTGGACCTGGCAGGCCTAGCTCGCGTTCCGATTACGATATAAGGAGCAATTACTCCGATAAAGACTTTAGAAGTTCACATGGGTTCCCGTTGAAGAAACCCCTGGATAACGATTACGACGACAGAGATAGTGGTTCGCGATGGGACGACGATAAATCGATGAACGATGGGCCCCGCAAAGGGGACAGTTTCTCGAGCAACTTCGACAAACGCGATAATATGCCGTTGGGCATTGGCCCTGGTATGAGTAATAACATGCCCCACTTAGGCAACAGCATATCCCACATGTCCAGTCACCACAATATGCAGAACATCAATCCCAACATGCCCCCTCCGATTCCGAGTTTAGTCCCACACCCGAACATGTCTCAGCATCCTATGCAGAACAAACCTCTGCATCCTGGTATGCAAGGAATCGACGGTCCTATGCACATGATGCATCATCCTAACATGCATCCTGGCTTTGGACCGAACGGTCCACCCCCTGGAGGGTTTGGTCTTAACTTTCGACCACCACCCAACGGTAATTTCGGACCGAATCAACACTTCAGGCCCAACCCGTTGCCCTTGTTTGGGGCGAATCAAGGTCCATTCGGTAACAACTTTCAAGGTTTACCGAACTTTCGAGGGCCTAACGCTGGCCCTCCGAATTTCGATCGACCAGGCTTTGGGCCTGGTTTCCGTGGCCAGAATCCTGGTCAGAACGCGCCAAATAATTTTAACTCGAACTTTGGTAATTTCGGGAATAAGCTGGGACCGCCCAGTCGTGGTCCTATGAATCGTGGCCCCAACGACAATAACATGGGCAGGAGTGGATACAACAATCGTGGCAGAGGACGCGACGGCGATTCCTCGCGAGGTATCAGGGGAAGAGATTATTGAAACAATCGTTCAAGTGTCTCTATGTTATGAACGTTGGCCAGACTGTAGTTTGTCCCTGCACGAAGCAGCGTTATTCCTCGTGCAGGCTGTACAGTCGCCGATGATGAGTTATGGCGTGGAACGTGGTGGTACTATGTAAGCATCGCGGTGCAGGCTAACGACCCATGTCGGACGCGTTGCGAGCCGTTTTGTACTCTCTGAACTGGGCGTTACGCGCAGCGTACTTGGATGAAAGTATATTTTTTTTCGAGAAACTTTATTTGAGAGAGCTATTCTTTTCCTGCGAAGCGAACCGATTGCATTGTCCAACGCGAACTTTCATTTTGCTATAGCCATTGGATCCTTGATGAATTTCATTCTCACTTTCTAAAGAAGATGAGTTTTTGTAGAGACGTATGATTTTAGGGTTAAATTAAGGGATCACGGGAAAATAAAATTCCACGAAAGTACATCGATTTCTAAACACCGCTGGGTTAAGTCTACAGTTAGGTCTACTGTAAACCGAAATGGCATGAACCCAGTAAAGCTCTTATGCTACAGTAGAGACCTGTCGACAGATATATGCAAATACAGATTTATCGCAACGATGTTTAGAAGTAGACGCTCCTTTCTGGGAAACGAGAAAATCGCTCTATAGAAATCAGATCTTTATTTGTTGGACGGTGTTATCCACATTAGATGGCTAGATTTCTAAATATGGGGAGTTCCCCGTTGAAACAACTGCGACCTCTCCGCATCTCATTAACAATCGTACGCGAAATGATGCGAGTGGTCTCGAGAGTGCCCGCTGAGAAATTGTAATATATAATTGATGAACATCCAATATTATTTCGATGAAAAAAACTGTTCACAAGCTGCCTTGCGGAAGAACTTTCATGTTCCAATTCGAGAATCGATCGGCGCGTGGAATAAAGGGTGGAAAGAAGCATGTGGAGCATGTCGAACGTTTCATAATTGTTGCTGGTCGTCGAGAAACTGTGAACCAGAACAGTTTACCTATCAGTTATTAATAAAAGTGGAGTAAGACGCTGAATTATTCAATTTCAAGCTCTGTCCCAGTTTTAATTTGTAGCTGTTATAGATAACTACGTTTACCGTAATTGACTATATATAGCTCAAATGTACGATGTATAAATATATATTTTAATTCCACCCTGATATCTCAACCGTATATCGAACTAAATTCGAAATTTTTTGTTCATGTACACTTGAAATATCCGTTGGTCAATATTTAAACATATTTTTGTCGTTATATTTATGATTTATATTAATCCCGTAACCAGCGCTTCCTACATTCCTCGTGCTAACTAAGAACTAACCAAAGTGAACGGTAATGTGTTTTGGAAAAGATTAACTTCATGTCATGTTCTTTTGAGCGTAAAGTTTGACACAATGGGTAAAAAAGGAAAGACAGGAGGCGGCAATTTAGGGAAAGCTTTAATCAGGGACCGTTTTAGTTCCATGAAAGCTAAAAGATGCGCTGATATGCCTATGGTAAGGTAATGATTTTGTTCCTAACCTCTCATTGTTATTTGTCAGTGCATGTGCTCGGAGTCATACCTCCAATTTTATTAAGAATTCGTAATATTAAAATCTATGAAGTTTAGCGTAATCATAACAAACCATTTATCGTTATTTAAACATTTTCAACCATGTGATCATTTTCAAAACAAGAAACGAAATAAACAAGGTCATCGAGGTTTAATACATAAGTAAACATTTTGTACATACAAATAGATTCATAACACCGAATTGAACGATGGATACGACTGGGGACGTCTCAATCTTCAATCCGTCACAGAAGAAAGTTCCTTTCAAGAATTTCTTTCCACTGCCGAGTTAGCAGGAACCGAGTTTCAAGCTGAGAAACTGAACATCAAGTTTGTCAATCCGAAAAGTGGAATAGGATTACTTTCCCAAGACGAGAAACAGAAAGTATTAGAGTCGCAAAAGAAGAATAAACAGTTTCTTAAGATACCAAGGAGACCAAAATGGAACAGCGAAACTACAGCCCAAGAATTACAAGCTAAGGAACGAGAAGAATTTTTAGAATGGCGGCGTTCCCTCGCTATGCTGCAGGAAGACGAAGGTTTAATATTAACTCCTTATGAAAAGAATTTAGAGTTTTGGCGACAACTGTGGAGAGTAGTGGAGCGCAGCGATGTTATCGTACAAATCGTCGACGCACGGAATCCTCTACTGTTCCGCTGCGAAGATTTAGAAGCCTATGTCAAAGAAGTAGATTCTAAAAAGATGAATGTGATATTAATTAATAAAGCTGATTTTTTAACGGACGATCAACGACAAGTGTGGGCCAAGTACTTTGCAGATATTAACGTGAAAATTGCATTCTTTTCTGCTACGTTAGCTGCTCAAAAACAGAAGACTGAGGAGTCGATACAGGAGGAAAATTCGGAAGACGAGCCGGATAACGAAACGGAAGATGAATTGGAGGAAGAAGATAGCGAGTCATTGTATAATTCAGAATTTGCTTCAGAGAGCGAATATGAAAGTGCAGACGATGGTAGTAGTAATACGAACGAAGTGCGTACAAGTAGGGATTGTAAAATTGAAAACGAAGAATGTGATTTTACATCAAACGCTTCAACTGGAAAAATGGATAAAGAAAGTACAGAGGAAGACGATACAACGATAGAAAATTCATCAGAATTATTAAGCAGAGATCAATTGGTGTCGTTCTTCAAAACAATTTACAAGGGCGAAACATACGCGAAAGATATCACAACGATTGGTTTAGTAGGATATCCAAACGTAGGTAAAAGTTCCACTATCAATGCCTTGTTAATGTCCAAAAAGGTATCGGTGTCTGCGACGCCAGGGAAAACGAAACACTTTCAAACGCTTTTTCTGGATAAGGATCTACTTCTCTGCGATTGTCCTGGATTGGTAATGCCAAGCTTTGTTAGTACGAAAGCAGACATGATTTTAAACGGGATATTACCGATCGATAACATGCGAGATCAAGTTCCACCGGTCACGTTATTAGGTACTTTAATACCAAGGCACGTTATAGAGGATATTTACGGTATCATGCTACCTCAGCCTTTAGATGGAGAGGACCCTGATCGCCCTCCAACCGCGGAAGAGATTTTAAATGCGTATGGGTGTATGTAATCGTGTTTATAATAATTGAACAACCCATTTCTTGCGAACACCTATAAAGCTCTCTTTTCTTTTAGATAACAGAGGTTTCATGACGCAAAATGGACAACCAGATAATCCACGCGCGGCCCGATACCTTTTAAAAGATTTTGTAAACGGTAAACTTTTGTATTGCGTCGCACCACCAACAGTAGAGCAAGAAAAGTTCCATACATTCCCTCCACGAAGAAAAATTATTTCCGCGAACAAACATTTGCCACTTCGGACGATACGTGTAAATAAAGGGAGCAAGATCAGCTCCGAAGACGTAGACCAAATATTTTTCCGTAATAGTTTTTCGAATGTACATACGAAAGGGGTGATTGGAAAAATGCACGGTTTATACCGTCCTGGTTCTAGGTATGTAACGTTATTGTATATTTATTATTTGATAAAGTTATCCGTATATAATTATTGACATTAATCGTTTGTATAATAATAAGTAATGGAGCGTCTATACAAATTTTTCTTGTTGATAATAGCCGATAATTATAATTTTCAGTGATGTAGTATCGGTAGCCGGTTCCACGCAGAGTTTATTAATCGAGGAGAAACCATGGAAAAAGATAAATAAACATTCGAATAAAAAGAAACGTGAAAAAACAAGAAGATTGTTCGCTCATCTGGATAAACATTAAAATTATGGATGTTAGTACTGTATCATTTTTTTAACTATGTGAATCAAGGCCTTTTCGCTATATAACAGCGGATCATATTTTGTAACATACAAATCTCTGAATATATTTGCGTATCAGAGACTCATATCGATTCTACGTACCACAAATACAATCTAACGATAGAATACATACACATGTAAGAATTATTCACAAAAATACTTCTATGTGTATATATTATACGATCGAAATATTAGGTAATTTGTATGTCCTTTGTGTTTATTTCTCTAACTCCTCCAATATCAGCATTAAAAAATCACTGGAACAAACGCAGCGATCTTACTTTCTTTTACATCTTGCCATGTGTAGGTGTTAATTGTAGACGCAGCGGTAAGTTTCTGGAACATATCCTTCAGAAAGCAATAATCTGTTAGATAGGAAGCACGAATCGAATTCCTAATCGTCGCTATTGGAATTCGTTTTTACATAATCTGGTCCAGATAATGCGGTGGTACATTTCATATAGATAATTTAGTTTCCTTTATAAGTTAAATCGTTGACGAACACCAGGTCCCTGATAATTGTAAGTCCTTTTAATAAAAGAGCACAGTATGCAGAATCGTTCTCGCAAACTTGGACTCGAATTCGTGAAGCAGTTCATCTATATCATTGTCTAAATCCTCGCTGTTCGCCAGCTGTAACACCATATTTTTTACTTTAGTTGGTATTATAGAAAAGTCATTTAACTTTTAAAAGTTAAAAATAGACAAAACTTTAAATAGATGCTCGATCGAATAACTAGTCTTATCATCTATTTCAAAAAATTTTGTCCATCTGATAATGCATGATTTAAGACATATTTTGAAAGTACCACAGTGACCAATTCGCAAATGAGAAAAGATCCAACTGTAGCTTCCTCGTGGTTGTCTTGAATATCGATATTGATCAGATGTACAGGTTGATTATCTTCCTGAGTTCTGGACTCCATGCATTCGATCACTTGGTCATAGACACGTTCTTCGCAAGTGATGAGGATGTCAAACTTGTCCTTGGACAATTGAAATCTTTCAGGCTTAGGTTTTATTCTACGATTTCGATCCAGCATGTGTAACAAACCGTTCTGTGTATAGCTGAGATTACCATTAAGGAATTCTAATCGCTTAAAGAAGGTTCTATCTGAAATAGAAAATATTTATTGGTGCTGTCAATAGGATACTATTGCTTGTCTTTCGTTAAGAGGTCATTGTAGATTTCTTCGTAGGATGTTCCAAAGTCGTAAATGTTTGGACGATCAGGAGCATTTCCAGGAAGTTTGACTTTATCTCCAGTTCCGAAGCTCTTCACGTTGAACCCTTTTTTGCTGAAAACAAATTATATAGATCAAATTTATATTTCTGAAATAAAAATTGTGATAAGTGATGAGCTATACGAATATGTAGATATTATGGGGAAAAAAAAGAGTAGAGGGTAGAATTTGATTATCAACAGGACCTGTTACCTTAAGAAAGCATGGGCTTCCATGCTTCGATTCATATTACTAGAACATATTACAGCCACGCTGATAGAATTTGGTGCAGGCATTCTTTTCGAACCTGTCTATCGATTAAAAAGAGAAATCGCGAATTAGGAAGAAAAATACGGGCGTAATATCACTTAACCTTAAGGGTCGTTACGCTGTCTGTCACATACGGTACATCTGTTAGCGTTACATAAAATACAATATAGAATATATCTTTCTTTGTGGTGAGATCAGACGACGAGGGGACTCGCGTTGTATCGCGAAAAATATGTAGGAATTTAGTAAACAAAATGATTTCGTAGCCCCCTCGACAACTTTATCGCCCTTTCATTATAAAGTATCGCGATGAAAAGCGTTTTCTACACTTTCAGGTTCGCCAGTTATTGCCACGAGGCGCCATCTGTGCCTAAACGTGAATTCGTAGCCAAGGAATCGACAGTCAGTAACGAAACATTGGTCGGCGAGGATCGTGGTAAATATTAATTTTTATCGACCAGCATTCGTGACGTCACGAAGAAGTTTCAAACCCGCCAGTTCAACGAGTTTATTCGAAGTCTACGCAACGCTAACGTGATAATCGGGTAAGTAACGTCGATATTCAATATTCGCTATCTTTTTCCATAGATTTATAACCTGACTTTACTTATTAAATCGTAACATTGTTCGAAACGGGTGGACATTCGCGTCGTTGACAGAAACGTTCGTATTCGATCGCAGGCTAACCCTGTTAGGTTAACTAACGATAGAATTCGATTCGAATAGTAGATGGCGAATGAAATGCGACGTTCATTCGATATGTCGCGTGTTGGGTGAAATAGAAATTGTTGAAGCGTGAATACGTTTTTCCAAAAAGCAGTTTAAATAGTGCCAGGAGCGTATCGATGAAAGTCGTACTGGTGTCATTGAGGGGAGAGACACAGAAAGGGACGATCTCCGATCGAATCATGACAAGGTCGCGGTTAATATTATTTTTCAACGCAGGTACACGAAACGTGAGGCTTCGATTGCAAACAGTCTCCTCGACGAAGATAGAACGCGATATTCCCGGTGGCTAACGATTTAACCTCAAACTCAACCGCGTGATTTCTGCAGGAATGTGGTAAGTCAAAATTCTATCGGCAATAGAACAATAGTTGCGTAAATACGTAATCGCGTTGTGTCGATACTGTAGTGAAGCAATAAAGTTGCGGAAGTCTTGCTAATTTTCCAATTATCTCGACACTTGATGTCGACCGAATTACAAACTGCGACACAGTTCGCGATGAGACAGATTCGTAATATTTCAAGCGTTTGAAAACTGTTGACACTGTTGAAAATTTTTTGTTATATTCACAAATATCATGTGTCCCAAGCATAGTCCATTCGTTAAATAATAATAATAATAATAATAATACTTTATTTACGGGCAATGTGCCCTTGATATCAAGTACAATGTAATAACAATGACAACAAGAAAAACATAAGAACGCAAATATCTCGTTAAAAAAAACTAACAAAATAGCCGTTATCTTTAACATAATTGTTACGTTAATTTCCTACTGTATTGAATCACTTGCACTGTAAAGACGTGCCACGCACGTCGCGATGTTTTTGTCACAGAATCGTCGGTGAATTTGTTGACAGTGCCAAAACTGTAACAGAAATGGGTTGTACAGGTGGAACAGATGGAACTAATACTACTAGCGTTTGTACAGGGTGCGGCAGAAATAACTCCCACATTTTAAAAAACGATTGAAAAAAAGTGGTACGAGATACCACCAGAAACTTTTTATTTCTTAAATCTATATATAAAAAGGTTTTTTTACTTTATGTTTTAAAAATTATCGCCTTTACGGGCGATACGCAATTCTTTCAATTTCCTCTTGGATGGCTTCCTTTAGTTCATTCAAGGACCAGGGACGATGTTTGGAAACCTCAGCCTTGAAGTATCCCCACAGAAAACAGTCACATGGACTTAAATCCGCCGAACTACTTCCGAACTCTTTCGCGTAAAGAAATCACTCGACCCGGAAACATCATCCGCAAAATTTCGCGCTCCCTGTATGGACCGTAGCTCGGCGGATTTAAGTCCGTGTGACTTTTTTCTGTGGGGATACCTCAGGCCGATGTTGAACGAACTAAACAAGGACATCCAAGAGGAAATTGAAAGAATTTCCCCCGAAATGCTAGCGAGAGTGATGGAAAACTTTCAAGAACGACTCCAAATGTGTATCGCCCGTAAAGGCCACTATTTGGACGACATAATTTTTAAAGCATAAAGTAAAAAAAACTTTTTTATAGCTACATTTAAGAAATAAAAGGAAAATAAAGATAATAGTCACCGAGTGACACGCTCTGCCAAGTTTCTTGATATAAAGTAACACGTCAGATATGACATCCAATTTGAAAACTTGCTCAAATTTGCGTCATTTTAAGTTATTTAAATTTAAAGTCCATACTTATAAGGAAAAGAAGACTGTTTACGCGGCATTAAAACAAACCTTATTATCTTTAATTTTAATTTAACATTAATTTATTATTGTTATTTCTGCCAGTGTATTCTAACTATGTTGCCCTATAAACCTAGAAATCCTATTTCATAAAAAATTCATAATAATTTAATATTTTTAATATGCATGTCGACCACATTGGATCCGCCATTTTGAATTTTGCAATTCTGATACTAGATTCGTAATTTGCGGGCCAAATAACTCTTAAATATCAAGTTTCATGAAAATCTAATAACTTTGTAATATACATATCGGCCATATTGGATCCGCCAGTTTGAATTTTGCAATTCTGATACCAGATTCGTAATTTGCGGCCCAAATAACCCTAAAATACTAAGTTTCGCGAAGATCCGAAAACTCCTTTTAATTTTGGCCAGGTTTTTGGCCATCCGGACCACTGTGCGACGTAGTAAGACCATGGTTTTCCCATCGGCGGACCTGTCACCCTTAGATTCTTTTGTACCAAATTTCGCGTGTCTGAAGTGCAATTTTCTACGAAACTACGGCTCGGTTCTTTCAATTCTACGTTTTCGATTTATCCTTTCAAGAAGAATTTCTTATTCGTGCAAGCGAAGCGGTTCGACTGTTAGAATATTTCGACGCATCTCGTGTTAGGAACGAGTTTCGAGTTGGTCGTTGTTCGCCTGTGAGCCAGCACACAAGTCGGTTGATTGACTTTTACAAAAGGGAAGAGTACCGAGCGAACTCGTCGTTAAATTGCATAATGTCGTACGGCTGCGGATCTCTTGCAAAACGGAGACGTAACGAGCGGCGTCGACAATGAAAATTGCGGGTTTCGTGGCTCGAATTAAGGCGGAGATCGCTGAGAGACTTTAATTCCGCGATCAGCCAATCTGTATTTCTTGGATCCCTCTTTCGTTGCGATCTGGGCGAATTTCTTTCGTCAGCTGCGATCGCCGAACACTCGAGATCTCGTTTACGATTAGGACACAGTATAACCTAAAATTCTCTCGATAGGTCCGTCGCCATTTCTGATAAAACGTAATATTTTTCGCGTATCAGAAAGTAAGGTAATAAATTAAGTTTCTTTAAATTTTTTTCTGAAAGTTTATTCATGCGTAATTTTAATTCTTTAACGAATTAGGATAGCTGTCGAGTTTTGTGGTTTCGTTAAACGTTGAGATGCGTCTTCACGTGTGCGCTACGGACGACAGTAGGGAATTAATTTTGTCGTGGAGTTAGCTGTTACGACACGAAACAGGCACCAATTTACATCTGGCGTTTAAATCCGTTTCTTAACCGGCTGAATGTCCATCTCGTTGATTGGTGCAACTCCTTTCGTTGCTCGTACCGGCAAACTGATTGACGATTGACGGTACCAATTTAGAGCTCCGACTCCTCTACTTGTATCGTTAGTAATAGCTTTCGTCACTCGTGCGGTTTGCTCGTGCGCTGCGAGAAGGTCAATGTTCGATGCAACTCGAATTAGACGAATTTTCGTAAAATTCACGACTCCTGACTTGTCATTTCTAACTTATAGTTCCGTAGTTTGGGACTTGGGAGACTTGGGAGGCTTGGGACATACGAGGCTTGGGATTTGGGAGATTTGGGACCAGGGAGACGTGGGACTTGGGAGACTTGAAATTTGAGAGGCGTGGGACTTGGGAGACTTGAGATCTTAGGATCTTTGGATCCCAAGATTTCAAGGTCCCAAAATCTTGGGATCTGGAATCTTGAGATCTTGGGTTTTTGATATTTTGGGATCTTGGGAACTGCGGTCTTGGGATCTTGGGACTTTCCAGTTTTCATCCTACGATTTCTGAACAGAACATGCTATGCACACCGGTCGGTGCACAACCGGGCATTAAAGTCTCCACGTTTAAACGATCCTACCGTAATCATGCGCATCGTTGCCTCACGGTGTTTATGAGAAAAAATTCGATCTCCTGTTCTCGCATGAATTCGCACGAAGGTTCTTAGTCGATGAAAAGACGGCTTTCAATAGGTTGACGAGGCAACAGGAAGCGCGTTTAATACACCCGCAGTATGCTGAATATTCGCGTCACGAAATTCTTTTGTTCCAAACTGATCGCGGTCTCGTATCAATTTAAACACATGACTCGCATCTTCGCAAGATTCGTCGTAATTGACGTGGACTATGCACGTCGGTGATTTACATTTTTCGCCAACGGTTATTAAAACTTCCTACCTCGTAATCTGCATAATAGTCTTGGTTACAATCATTGCAATTTTCGTCTGATTATACATATTGTTGTATTGCGTATCTCATCCCGTTAGATAATAATTTCATAGAGTCATGTCGCCACTGTGGTTTCGAGGTTCCAGAGCTTTAACCTTTTTCCTTTAACCTTTATAGCCTAAGAGTGGCTATATATCAAAGATTGAGACTTGGGACTTAGGAGATTTGCACTCGAGACTTACGAGACTTGGAACTTGGGAGACTTGAAACATATATGTCCCACTAGGGTCGGAAGGGCTAGGTCTGTAGACTGTAAGATTTAAAACAGGGATTTTTGATAATATTTTACAAGTGTCCTTGAATATATAAGAAGCGAGATAAGAAAGCGTAAGTGGTTAATAAACGCAAATGGTCGTCGTCGTTTATCGCGAGATCGTCGAAAGGAAATGGCGTCTGTTCGTGTCCTGCATTATTACCTCGCGGCCGTTGGCAGCGATTTTGCTGCCGTTATCTCGAATCCTTGTAAATTATTCCGCGTGTGTACGCGAAGACGGATGTCCTCTAACTTATGGATATTGACGAGGGGACCCTCGAAGAGCGCCGGTGCGAGCATCCTCGACGTCTGACGCATAAACGGCCGACGGAGAGTCATCCACGCGTTGCAGCAGCACCCGTT